GGCCACGGGTGCGCTGCGCCCCCTCCGCTCCTTTCTGGAGCAGGATGCCACCCGGCAGCGGCTGGTGCTGCAGGTGCGGGACAGCGGGCAGCCAGCCCTCTCTGCCACCATGTCCCTCCTGCTTTCGGTAGTGGAGACCATGCCTCAGAGTCTCTCCGACTTCAGTGAACTCAGCCTGCCCCCAGAGGCCTCCTCATCCTCCCCACTCACCCTCTACCTCCTTGTCTCCCTGGGCTCCATCTCCTTCACCTTCCTCCTCGCCATCCTCATCCTCACGGCCATTCGGTGCCGTGGAGATCGGCACTCCCGCCAAGGTGACAGCTGGTCACCACCCCGCTGCCGCTGCTGCCCTGGGTCCAGACCCTCCTCTGACGGCCTGAAGACGTCCAACCTGACAGCGCAGCCCCCCACGGGGACCACAGCTGCTCCCTGGGCTCCATCTCCTTCACCTTCCTCCTCGCCATCCTCATCCTCACGGCCATTCGGTGCCGTGGAGATCGGCACTCCCGCCAAGGTGACAGCTGGTCACCACCCCCCTGCCGCTGCTGCCCTGGGTCCAGACCCTCCTCTGACGGCCTGAAGACGTCCAACCTGACAGCGCAGCCCCCCACGGGGACCACAGCTGCCACTTGCCTCGACGTGCCCGCGGGCGGCCCCCCGGGCTACTGCTACAAGGTCTGCCTTGGTCCTGAGTCTGCCCAGAGTGACTTCATGTTCCTCAAACCCTGCAGCCCTCCACGGAACAACGAGAAGGACCCCGGGAAGCAGGCCCAGCCGGGCCAGCACCTCCAGGTCTCCAAGCAGGTAACACCGTGCCCAGTGGTGCTCACTGGCGCTCCATGGGTCCCCCCAGCCCCCTCCCTCATCCTCTGCCGTGAGAGAAACCAGGCACGGCTTTTCCCAAAGAATAAGCAGCGCCTTTGATCAGTGCGGGAATTAGGAGCCGTTAGGCAGCGGGGAACTCTCCACCAAGCTTCCTGACGGCTCTAATTACCAGGGGAGCGTCAGGCTCAGCTGAGGCAAGAGGAAATCCCTTCCCCACGCCTTTTGCACCCATTAAAGACAGCGGAGATGCTCCGGTGCCCTGGGGGAGGTAGGATGGTGGGATTGGCATCTCCTTCGTGTGGGTGAGCAATTCACGCTGGGACAGTCTGAGCGTTGCTGCGGCTCCGCTTCCCCCGTGCCGGTGGGGGTCCGCAGTGTCCCGCTGCTGCCACCAGGGCCGGTCCTGGCCCCACCGGCACCACTGGTCTCCCCAGTTCTGGCACCCAGGCCTTGGGTGCTTGCACTGGGCTGTGCCAGAGGGGAGGGGGCGCACTGGGCTGCCTCCCATCTTTGGGGCGGGATTTTGATGTCAACATTCGTTAGGTATTGAAATGAGGAACGTCTAATTTTCCCGATGAAAGACTCTTTCTGAAATGCGATTACAAGGATGGAGAGTGATGAGGCGTCTAATCCACTTACGTTTGACTTTTAATAAAACAGCCCTTCCAAGGAGAGCCCAAGACGCGCTGCCAAGAGGCTCTCCCCACGCATCTGCTTGCACCCCTGGACTCTCTTCTCTATTACACTAATGCAATTTTCCTGTGGGTGTTTGCAATTCCCCCTGGGACATTGGTTGTGCAGCCCATTTCCACACCTCTCACCCTTTGTGCCCCAGACCTGGGCTAATTTACCATTGCACCTGCAAAAAACGCTTTTTAAAATTAACAGAAACAGGAAAAGACCCTCTCTCTCCCCAAAAGGACAAAACTTGGCAATTAAGAGATGGAGAGTAAGCCCCAGACAACCCCAGTGTCTCAGGAGGGTGGGCAAGGTCCAGAAGGGAACAGGCTGGTTCAACACTGCCTCAGTTTCCCTAAAACGGGAATGTGCTGCTTGCTTCTCCACAACGGGCACGGGGAAAGAGGAGATGGGGTTCTGCAGCCCCAGCTACTGAAGCCTTGTGCTGGCAGGGCTGGGCTGACAAGCAGAGGGTACCAATAACCAGTCTTGCCCTTCCCTGTGTTTTCCAGATCAAGCAGCCCAACATGGACTGGCTGCCTCCAAGCACCCAGCGACCTGCCCTGAAGAGGTACCAAATCCAGCACTGCAGGAGCAGAGGGAGCAGATGGAAGGGGGGTGTGGGGACGGGGAGGTTATCTCCAGCACACCTTTGAACTGGTCTCTTCTCTTTAGTTCCCAGAGCCTGGAGGACATGGGGGAAATCCGCAGAGCCTTCCAGAAGGAGCACGAGAGGCTGTGCACACTGGTGACTCCTGTCTCTGGTTAGTAATGGGGTGCTGGGGCTGGGAAGACCAGACCCTCTTGTCGCTTGGTGGAGGTGCAGTGGGGGGGACCCATCCCTGTTCCTAGCAGTGGTAGAGTTTTGTGGGGTGGAAGGGGCGTCCAGGCTCCAGAAGGGAGGTTGGTGACACAAGCCCACAGGCTTGCACCCTGGGACATGGATGTGACTGTTCCACTGAGCTATGGTGTGACCTCCCCTGAGCCAGTCTCACACTCATCTTTCCTCCAGAATTTCAGAAGGCTTCAGCAGGCACCAACAGCATCTGGACACCCCAGTACAGCCCCTTGTACCCAGGTCACATTCCAGCCCTGGATTATCAGCACAATGTCTACATCCCTGGCACCCCCACTCTGCTTTCCAGCAAAGATGGGCCCCTCTTCCTGGGCCGGGAGAACAAGAACAGCTTCTCCACCTTTGGCAAGAGGAAGAAGATGACAACTTACTGTGACATGCATGACAGTGTGGTTATCAACAATGACCTGAAATAGTGACCAGCGCTGAGCCTGGCTGGCTCTGCCCATGGCCCTGGTAATCACTCGCGTTATTTCAGCTGTTAGATCCACCCACAGCTCCATGTACGGACCACTCAGGACTGTGGGGCTGCTGAGATAGTGGCTCACCAGAGCGTGGGGAAAGGATTCAAGGAGCAAGAGACTGAAAAGTGATAGGGATGGGTGGGGGGAGCGGAGGGGGTGTATTTCTCCCATCTCATTCTGCAGAGCTGTGTCAGCAGCAGGTGCTGTTGGGGGTCCATATGACCAGATTTAAGCAAATCTGCCTTGAGTTTACCCATTCCCATGTCCCCTTAGGGACCATCCAACTCTGTAAACGTTGTCACTTCTTTGTCTTGTCTGGCTGTGTGAATGTACTGAGCTGCATGCCTGTATTTCTGTCCCAGTAGGCATGGAAAATGCACGCAGACCAAGCCTGGTTCAGTCAAGCCTGACCGTAGGTACTGGCGCAGTGACCATTGCTCTGGCCCTGAGATCCAGTGGGACGTGTTGCATGTCCAGAGCAGCCGTTGGTATTTGTCTTCTCTGGGAAGTGAGTCCAAAACCCAGCCATTTTGGGTGCTTCCCTTCAAACCCTTACCTAACACTTGCAGGGCTGGAGACCCAAAGTCTGGGACACGGACAGGGTCCAGGACACAGCCAGTCTGTGCTCCGGGAGCAGCATGGGCCGGAGCACACACACAGGTTAGATGTCCTGAAGAGCTGTTAGCTTAAGCAGCTGAGAGATGCACAAGGTGAGGCCCTGCTGGGTAACTCTCTAGCCCAAGGCAACATCATCTGAATGAAAGACAAGTTTCCAGCCATTGCAGGGGCCCAAACACAGGTGACAGTCCTCTTCCCTCCTCCCCCTGCCCTCACCTAGATCTCTCTTTTCCTCAAGTCCTGAATGCCTGGGGGAACCCCTCCACTGGGGGTCTCCACCTGAGTAGGACAGACATCTCCCACTGTGCCCTGCTTCTCTTTGAGGACTTTTAGCTGGCTGGCAGGAGCCCTCAAGGGCAGAACTCCAGCCCCAGAACAGTCTCTTCCCTGCCCTGCTCACCCTACACCTGTCCACCCGGTCTGTCTGCTAGCATTGCCAATCGCTCCTGTCACGGGACAGTTCATCTCCAATCCATCTGTGCAGAACATGACAGCTTTTTCTAAACCAAGTTTGTTTCACAATGTCTGATTTGTACCAATAAATCGTATTTTAATAGCTCACCCTGGCTCCTGGCTGTCCCTGAGGTGCACCTTAATTGCTGCTCAGCTCTTGGAGCAGAGCTCTTGGCTCCAGGAGACGTGTGTGTGTGTCCCTCTGGCCTCCTTAGTTGCTGGAGCAGCCTAGGACAGCTCATTTTATTTATTTCCCTTGGATGCTGGGGGCTCAAGGTTCCCTTCCCTCCTTCCCTGGACTCAGGAGCCATTTGGGGTCCTGGCCAGGAGGAGCCTTGTGCTGGAGACGTCACTCAGCTCCTTGCTCCACGCTCCAGCTGGGGTAAAGACTCTGCAGAGATTTGCACCAAAGTGTGGGCATGAAGGGCTTTGAGCTGCTGGGGAGAGGGGCTGGATCTGGCCGTAACGACTCATCGCTGTTATTGTGCATTGCTTTCTATGGTTCATTTAAGCTTTCCCCTGGATGCTCGCCACCCACCAGCTTGCCTTGAGAGTCACCGAGATAACTTGCACGTGTGCCAGGTGCAAGGGACCAACTGCCTGGGAATAGGGAAGCCTGTAGCTGCTGGTGGGATGACTCTTGACTTGATGGGGGAAGCAGTTCACCTTTGGATGAAGTCCTGAGGTGGCCATGCACGGCTGTCCTTCTCTTACCCCCTGCTTGCTCAGTGACTGGCTTTGGGAGGCTGCAATGCGGCTTTTGGGATTGACCCAGAAAAGTTCTTGCCTACAAGTGGGTAACGTGCTCTTTAGTGGAAGCAAGGGGCAGGCAACGCTCAGAAGGGCCCCATGGGAGCCAGAGACCCAGGAGGACAGTGCTTTGGACATGAAAGGGACCTGGCTGCTTCTGGTGACTTCAGTCCCAGCTCGCAGCTGCCTGACTGTGAGTAGATGAAATATTCCCTGTCCTAATTAGACAATAGGATGAAGGATTTTATGCTGCTGAATGCATTCTTCAATGGTCTCTACAGAGTGTTAAAGGTAAAAAAAGAACCCCAAACAGCCACAGCTTGAGACCTCTGTACAGCATTACCCCATTTCACTGCTTCAAATGAACAAGAGAATTATGTAAAGCAATACAATAATATTAATAACAGCCTCAAGAAGTAATAAAAGCACCAAACGGACGTGAGTCCCTGCAGGGCAGTAAGCATCTCCGTCTCCCAGATGAGCTCTGGCAATATATTCCCTGCCATTTTCAGGTGGTGCTGGTCAGGCATGAGAAGAGGACTGCAGCTCCTCTCCAGCAAGGCACAGGGGCTCAGGCACAGGCCCTCTGCAGCGGGGCCAAGCCGTTAGCCAGGTTTTAGCTCACTCAGCAAAAGCACCCAGTATACGTTCTTGGTGCTATCCAGGATCTAAGTGAACGCTGGCGCTTTGCATCAGATTCCCAGGTGTGGCTTCCCAAAGCGGATCTCAAAATTGATCCCCAAACCCACAGGCATTTGAAAGTGATACTTTACATCCCTGTCTTTGGAATTTCATGGGGTTGAGCAACCAGGTGGCCAGCTTTTGCCATCTCCCTTTGTCACTTTCCAGTGTATTTTCTTGGCATTTTTTAACCCCTACTACTAGGGCTCAGCTGACACCCAGTAAATTGCCTCCCTCTCCTCTCCATTACTCCTGCCCATCCCCAGCCCAGGCAATGAAAGACACACGCACACATCTGTGCCTCTTGCTGATCCTCAGGTTTGCATGTTCAGGTCAGGCATCTTCCAAAAGGGATTTGAGGGTCAACACAGTGCTCAGCCTGGGCCACACCACCCCATATTCCGTGAGGGTCTCCTTTTGCTTAGTTGAAGGAAATCCTGCATTAACAAGAGCTCAGTTTCAATCTTTCTTCTCAATCTACATATTGATAAAAAGGACAATAAAAAGAGACTTGCTTTAGGGGAGAGGGCACTTACTTAAATCTCATTCAACCACACTACTACTCCTTCTTCAAAGGGCATGCCTGGTCATAATTGTCCATCTAATACATGAGATCTCCTTTGAAGATATCCCACAGGGACAGGGGGTCATTAAAAATGCAAGGTCTTTGCCCTCCAACCAGTTATTTTTACAACTCCTCCTGTGCTTACACTCCTGCACAGTTCATGAGCATTAGCTGGTTTCTGTAGTCGGGTAAATGCACTGGGCATGAGAGATGCTTTGGAGATATACTCCACAGCACGCTCTCTATATGCTTTTCTCATACATTCCAGCTCTCTTATTGCTCCAGAGGCAAATCTGGCTTTCAGGGACCTGCCAGACAGCTTGAGATTTGCTTTTACAACAGTGGGAAAGCTGCCATGTGGAGCAGTTGGCTGCAAAACGCTGCAGGCCATGCTAGGCAGGCACATAGTGCTTCTGGGCACCAGCACAAATAGGGGGGTTTGTGCTCTTGCTGTTGCTGAATAGACTCCTTGGATGGAAACATTACTTATATCTCTGTAATGACTTGAAAGCATATACCGGAGAGACAAAATGAAGCCAGAGGTAGGGAGAAAAGAGGCCAGAGAGAAAGACCCAGAGGGGCTGGTGCTCAACTCTACTCCGGTCTGCCATGCATGGAGTCGAGTGGCAGCCAGTGGTGCCCCCAGGAAACCTCAGTGGGGACACGGTGCTCTGCATGCAGCCGGGTGAGGCTGGGTAGAGCCATGAATACAGGTGGTCTCAGCTCACCGGGGGGGCGGTATCAGCAGGACAGAGCTAAAATCCATCGGGATCAGTGGCAGTCTGCGCATTGACCTTGGAAGGTTCTGGATCCAGCCCGAAGTCTGCAGCGCTCAGTGGTTAACTACATCTCCAGCGATGCTGGGACTTTGTTTTCTTTTCTTCTCTCCTCACTTGAAGGTGCTTCTGGAATGAACACACCTTAATTTAGCCAAGACTGGGTCGAGATCCACCCTGATTTCTTTTCAAATTGCCTCAGTGTCTTCAGTATGTCCCTGGACTCACCCTGCAGAGCAGTCTGCTGGTCTTGGCTGGATCTCCTCCTCCTGTTTCCTTTTCAATCTCAATAGATGTTTTGTAGAAATAAATATCCTTTAGCTTTTGTCACAATAATTTAGCCTCTGACACACTGAAAAATGGTTTGCATGATTATCAAGTGCTGATTTTCTCTCTTCCAGTCCATCTTTTCTTTTTTTTTTTGCTGCTCTGACAACACCAGTTGCCAACTCCTCCACAGAGATCAGATGAAGAAACAGGCCTGGGCTAAGTGAAGCTTTTGCCTCCCCAGTTTGCCTATAATGTGTTTTCAATCTAAGTGGTAGAAATGTCACTGACTGTTTGCAGCATTCACTCAAGTGGAGTTAATGCTTCTTGTTAGTGATAATATGACTTAATCAGCTTAATTATTGTGAGACATAAGTAGACACCTTTGTGTATTGAATAACTTATGACATACTGGACCAAAAAGCACAAATGAAGGCTTTGAAAATAAATTAAATATGACCTCTAGTGCAGGCTGCACTTTGACTAATGATTCGTCTCCCATGGAATTCAATGATTTACAAATGTTACTTTTGAATAAATTATACATTTTTGCATGTTTTAAACAATAGCAGCGATTTTTATTTCAGCTTTCAGAATTCAAAGTCTTTCTCCAATGCCAGGAAGCAGGGCAAACAAGTTCATGTTAAACGGATTGAAAAATAAAACATTTGTGCAGTCAACCATCAGAAATGCATCCAGAGGATCTGCAGGCATTTGTGATGAGATATTTATTCTAATTCATTGCTAGGAATCTCTGCAACAACAGGTGAAAAAATGCATCAGAAGAAATGAAGAGCAAGTGAAGATTCCCAGAAGGGTCACTAAGGTCTTCGCATCAAATC